ATGATCATAATTCGTCTTCATTGGAGCATTACGACGTGATCTCCCTGGAATTACATATTCATCATCCATGGTAGGAATTGTAATATCGTTTTTGTCTCAAAACGAAGATGCTTGCTCAACCAATTCTTCAAACTCAATATCCCTCATCAACTGTAGGTTTTCCTTGCATGTTTTCACTAAACTCACTGCATTCACAATGTCTTGATCTTTCTTTTGCAATGCTAGAGACAAAATATTTATTATTCCCAATATAGCTTTCATTAAAAACAAGTGAAACACAAACTCAAAAGATTGTATTTCTCTCCATAACTTATAAGTTTCACCGAAACTATCATTAGGATTATCATCAACAATCATTTAAAGCACATTCACCATAGATGGGAACATAGAAATGATACTAATCATCGTACCATAATGTGAGTTCCATCTTGTATTGCCAGCACGTTTGAGACTAGTTTCTTGATTTAAGCCTCGCCCCGTTATAAGACAATCATTTTCAAAAGCTTTCACAAGCTCTTCTTGGTATTGTGCTCTAAGTGCATCACGACGCTTACAAGATGCTCCAACAACATTAATCAAACTATTAGCCGTTGTGAAAAATGAGTTGACATCAATGTTTTTCTTTGCTACGGCAACAAGAGCTAGTTGAAGTTGATGAGCAAAGCAATGAACATAAAATGCACAAGGTTGTTTTCTCAAAATCTTTGTTTTAAGGCCATTGAACTCACCTCTCATATTACTAGCTCCATCATAACCTTGTTCTCGTAGCTTGGAAAAGCTCAAATTCACGGAAGAAAAGAATTCATCAATGGCTTCCTTTAGTGCACTTGAAGTAGTGTCGGTTACATGTTGAACCCCCACCAACCTTTCAATTATTTTTCCTTTGTCGTTCACATAACGCAACCCCATCGCCATTTGCTCCTTTATTGAAACATCACGTGCTTCATCCACCATTATTGAAAAATATCTATCTTTTACATCACTCAAGATAAGACCAATAGTTTCTTTGGCACAAGCTTTGACAAGATCCTTTTGTATTGAAGGAGCTATTAACTTTAAATTACCCGGAGCATTTTCCAACACAACGGCCTTAACTTTTTCATCATGATCCGCAAGAAATTGCAAAAGCTCTAAATAATTCCCCTTATTACTTGATTGTGCACTTTCATCATGACCATGAAAAGAAAGACCTTGTCGCAACAAATACCTAGTGCACTTGAGTGATGCATTCAACAAGAACGATAAGCCGTGCGAGCTTGGTTTGTTTGCTTGATCACAATTATTTCAATGTGTGTAGTTTGATGCATCAAATTGTAAGCAACTTCTTTAGTTTGGTTGTGAACACTACCAGCCGATCCAACATGAAGGTTAAATCTTTCTTTCCTTTTCTTCAAATTATTAAAGCCTACCCCAGTGAATGCATCACCACCCACTTGATCAAAATTAGGCTTGAAGAGATAACAATGAAGACAAAACGCAACATCTTTAGCTATACTATATTCCAACCAATCATACTCATCAAACCATTGAGCAATGAAGCGTATATTAATTCCCGACTGATTAGTTTGTGGGAATTTATAACTTCTAGATTGACAAGGTCCCTTTTGTAGATATGTTCTTCGGATCTCATCCCGAATATTAGGACTATAATCCGTCATTCGAGTTCTTAATCCAGGGTCTGCCTGAAGATTAGCCAGTATCTCATCTACTTCAATTGGTCTTGCATTTGAACTATCTGGATTAGACGGAGAAGGACTATCCGTAGATAATTTTCTTTTAAAGAATCGTTCCATAAATCTACAAATCAATTAATTCAATCAATCATTAATTTTTTATCCAAATTCAATATACCCTAAACCCAAAACAATTAATTCAATCAATCATTAATTTCTATCAATATTCAATATACCCCCAAACCCATATCAATCTGTATTCCATATACCAAATTATTATATCAAATATCAATCAATATTCAATATATACTCAATCAATCCACATTATTAATCAAGCATAAACTCAATCAATCTACATTATCATATTCATATCCATAAATTTCATTACATAAAAAAAATATAAATATCAACAATATATATTATCACTATAAATTTATTAATATAAATTTTGCTTACTTGTTGTTGAAAATAAGGGCAGTGGACGGCGGCAAGGTGGTGGTGTCGGCACTAAGTCACCGGCGAAGAGTTGTGATGGAGGTTGGGAGGTTAGGGTTTGAGAGGCTGGGAAGAGAAGAAGTGAAATTGGGAAGGAAAAGGATTTGGAGAGTTGCTGTGCAGAGTCGGGTGGGTAAGTGCTGGAGCTTTCTTTTTTCTTTTTTTTTTTCTCAAAAACCTGGCTCAAAATGACGTTGTTTTGAGGCCATGTCAATTAAAAAAAATTGATTGAGCCTTGGACCAAACGACGTCGTTTGGCAAGGCTCATTTTTAAAAAAAGAAGGCAGAGCGCGCGCGCAAGGCGCAGGGCAGTTGCGCAACAGATGGCTTGGGACTTTCGTCGAGCATTTGGTGTGCATACAAGGGGTCATCTAGTAGCTATCCAAGGGGTCGTCCATGGAGTCCCTAGCCAAATTTCCAGCCATCCAAGGGGTCGTCCGACCCCTCTTGTCCCAACGTGCGTCCACCCATGTCCATCATTATATCTTAGATTCTTAAATAAAGGTGTTGGAGTATTCCTAAGAAAATATATAAAAAATAAAAATAAAGATGTTGGAGCATGAGTGGGCTCCTATTATAATTCCACTTCGAAACTTTCCTAAGTGTTGCCCACTTCCTTTTTCATTTACAAACCCAAGATCTCTTCCGACTTGTGAGTTAGATATTCTTTCTTGCTATGGTTCAAGCGACATCACCGTAATCAAATTCTTCCCATGTCAACTTCAAAGTGAGGTATGTTTTTCTTCATCTATTTTGAGAATTTGAGGTTGTTTTCTTCGAAATGTGAACTATGAAAAACAACATAATGGATTGGATATCTTTTATGAATTGGGGTTCATTTTATTGAAAAGTTCGAGTATGAAGACTTGAATATGAAACATATTTAATTTGTTTTATGTATTTGGGTCATTTTCCTAATTGGGTTTTTTGGTTTCTAGTATGAGTTCCTCTGGTTCTCATAATTTTGGTTATTTCGTTTGCTCTCTCCAAGATGGATGCTATTAAAAATTATTTCTTAGTGCTACAATTTTCTGTGAATTACATGATTTTTCTTCCTGTGAATTTGAAGGAGTCAATCTTTTGTTTTGTCTTCATTTTCTATGCCATGAATCTTGCACTCGCCCCTGACTTCTTTCATAGGAAACTTCATTTTCATTTAGTTAACATTGTTGGCAGGGCTTTAAGTTTGTAAGGCCTAGGTTAGATTCAATAGTTCTTTAGTTATTCAATTCAGTTTATTGAGTATTGTATTAGGATTTGTGTGATTGTTAAATAAGTTTTTTTGATGCTAAATATTAACTTTTCGTATTTCACATGTATAGCTGTCTAAAAAGAAACTATAAATTCCATGATTATACTTCTGGCTGTATTCTTCATAGCACCATCAGAAACTTGAGATGAATTTCAATATGCTTTTCTGTTTTTCCTCTTTTTCTTCCTTTTTTTTTTGTTCAATTGCATAGGTTATAGAATATTTATGGTTTTTTCTAATTAGTTGAACCAAAGTATGGTATAGTAATGTATGATTTTGCATAGTACAATGTCAAATATTACAATGCAGTTGGAATTGAGTACACTAAGAATCAATTCTTGTTATGTATGTAACTCCTCTACAAGGTGAACCAAATATCCATTATAGATTTGGTCTCGTGCGCAATATTTATTTTTTGTACCAAACCAGAATGGTCAACTTTTCTCTATGTGATCCAAAAGTAATTTCATGCTTTTGATTAGGTTACAAGGTAAACTGTTCTACTATATGCTATTTGATTATTTCTAAACATACAATTTGGGTCTCATTAGCAAGGGATTTAGGTCAAACCTTTGATTCAAGTAAGACACTTGGTCACTATGAATTGAACCCATTGAAAGGAAAAATATTGTTGTTTATTATGGACCTTTCTTGTGCAGATCATCACCTGAATCATGACAATGTTAAGTGGGATAAATGGGGTAGATTCATTGAGAGACATGCTACCTATCAACTTTGAATTTTGATGATGGGGAACCAAGACATTGATTTTGCTCCAAAAATGGTAAGCATTTGATAAATAATTCCACTCTCATTTTTTTTTTCTTTCTATTGTGTTAGATAAGATCGTTTTTCGTAATTGATCACTTTAATTATTTTGTGCAGATGAACACAAAGTTTACTTTTGGAAGCCCACACATTCGTTAATTAAGCTAGTCTCTCTATCCTCTATCTCTCTTTTTTCTTTTTTGACAATTCATATTCGACTTTTTGTTTTCATCAGGTAAAAATTGATTCTTGATTTTTTTTTTCGAAATTTGGAAAAGGTTGATGTGTGTGGAATCTACTTTTGTGTAGATTATTAAGTATGACTATTTTTTATGTCAAATTTGGGGATGCATAAGCTGTTACATGGTTACTATCAAGGTACACCACCAACATTATCAAGATAGTGATCGCTTTCTGTTTTGTGCAACATATAAGTTCTCATCCTGCACTTGTAGATTATGTGATTCTAGCTAGCCATGGGATTCTGCATTATGTGCAGACAATGTTTGCATCATAGAATGCTCATAGCTTCTAGTCTCTTTGAAATTGACAAGGAGAGCATATATGTGAACCATGTCAATACTTCTTTACTCTTTAATTCATGTTTTTAGTAGCCAATTTTATCTTTTAGATTATGTTTACCAGCTGTTATTAATTGGGGTATGTCATAACTCTTTGATTCCTATTTTTATCTTTTGGCAGATTTGTTGTTTTAAGGGAGGCTTAAGCCACAAAGGAAGTCTTAGGCTCATAAAGTGCTAGGGAAAGTCAAGCTCCTAAGTTAGAAGTTCTACTGAACTAGATAGCTTCGTTCATTTCAATATGTTTTGTTTTCAATGTAATTTTGTACGTGATTTCAATATCATTCGTCTTATAAAATTTTTGTAATCTAATTATTCTATTTCTTTTGGTGTAAAATTTCTGTTTATTTATATATATTATTCATTTAGATACCAATATTTTTTCTTGGCAACTTTAGTTGTCCAAGATACTTTTTTTTTAATAAATATTATACTACTCTTGACGGCAAAAAAGCGTCAAAAAAGATTTCTTAAGTTTCAAGAAGTATATTTGTTGATGGTTAGTAAGTGACATGAAAAGTGTTCATTGACTGTTTTTAATTGGTCTGTGAAGCTTTTTAGCCATCAAGAAGCTCTGTAACTTGACGGATAATAAGCGGCAAGAATGACTACACCCTTTAGTGATACTGGCACTCCTCGCATTTTCCAAGCCGTCAACTAATGGGTATCGTGACGCTTTTTAGCTATTAGCAAATGGTGTTTTTCTTGTAGTGTATAAAGAACTCAATGAACCAAGTCCAAGTTTCCTAGTTCTCAATCTCAACAATAGCAAAAGCAATATGAGTTAGAAGTTAGAAGTTTTCATGGATGAGGACCTTTTATGTGATACCCATGAAGACCCACAAGTGGTCTACAACCCGCAACAAATTCCTTTTTCAAAGCTGCAAAATATACATACAATTCATAAAATCTTGGCCTTGAACCCTCCATTTCTGTTTTCATTATAATAGTACTTCTAAGGTTAGACCTTCTTAGTTCTTTACAGTAATCCCAAAGGTTGTTATACTACTCTTGGATGTCACCCTCCAATTTGTCATTAGCTTCCTTTCTTGCTCTATAAGCTTGCCACCTTGAGATTTTTGTCATATAATCTTTCCTCACCTTTTCCTTCATTATGCTAACAACAATTTTATGATTACTCATAACGTCCTCTGAATATCTCCTCGCCAACCACTTGCTTGTCATGATTTTATTATACTCATCTCTTGAACATATGTGCTCTCCATGAAATATTTTAACATAAAGAGGGGCTTTCCTATTTGATTGGTCATTTGTTGATGCATAAAAAACCAAGGGCATTTGTCGTTCTTACAAACAACGTTCACTTTATATCAATAATTGATTTTCAACTTATAATCCCTACCATTATTGATGAAATTTTCTTGAATGACATCTTCGAAATCATGGGCATTTGCAAATACCATACCCAACTCAAAACTAATGGTTCTCAAATGAGTTTTTTTTCCTGAATTGGGGGAACCTCAACACCTTCTTCCTTATCCTCCTCCTCCCCATTCCTGAAGTTACTCTATCTTTGTAAGATCCTTCACCATCACCATTACTTGATAGCCTTTTCAAGTCTTCTGAGTTTGCAGCATCATTAGACTCTCGATTGTCTTATCTTAGTTCATTTTGGAGGTCTTCCTTACTTGCACCCTCAACGTTAGCTTGAAATACAACATCGTCATCATTTGAAAGCTCATAGTTAGAATATAAAAAATCATCATATTGTTCTTTCGCCTCATCGTGTCCCCCATTAGTGTCATCCATAGTCACATTTGTATCTCCAACCTCTTCTTCTACATCCAAATCCACCCAATTAGTTGTTCCTTCTTGTATTTGAGGTTCACTCTCACATTCTAGAGGATGTAGATGTTCTTTAGGTGCACTCGCACCTTTTTGTACATGTATATGTGTTTCAGATGTTTGTGTTTAAGGTATATAGCCATAGGAAATTCCATGTGAAAAGTAAATGACTGCTACTCTACTTTGGGGTGAAGTATCAAGCATATCGGCAAAAATTT